GTATTTCGGAATTTCAGACAATAAACGTAAATTTCAACTTAACATTTCCAACAATTGTTGACGTTAGATATTGATATTGTTGATGTTGAGTGTGTGATAAAAACTCACTGTGTGTCTGAGATGTTTGATATTGTCGGGGTCGTCGACACGACAACTGTGTTCCAGTAAATACTCTACTGCTCCTGGCGTTACAAACACCTGTAACATACACTTCTGCTTTTAAACCGCACAGAACGTATCAAATAGTAAAAACCGTTTTATAATAATACTAGAAAAAGTCAGCGGTGCACCAATTCTAAGGAAACATCGAATGTATAAGTAATAGAGTGCTGATGTGATTATCTCACTCCATTCTACTAACATCCTTTAACTATGCCCAGCTTAAAATATGGACCTAGGTGGTGCTGTTGTCTCAAAGACGAAGATAGATCTAGCAGAGGCTCTATACTGTACGGCAAGTACCTCACATCATTAGCACGTGTACGTTAGCACTTTCTCTAACACGAGTGTCTGATATGTAAATTAATTGATTTGATTCGACGGTTATTTTTTCATGAAATAACTTCTTACCATACGTCCATTATTAACATCAGTGTTTTTCTTACCTGGGACAGGACGAATGCGTTGTAAACTATCTGTATGATATTGTAGACTCTCATGAAGGTCTTGAGATAATAAGGTTTCCTCGAGGCCATGATCTTTGGTCCAAAATGTACCACAATCAATAGGTAAACAAGTATAGACAACGATACAGGGATCGGAGAGTGGGTTAGTGTCCAGTTCTGGGTAATACTCTCTGAAAAAATCCTCTAGTATTAGATTCTGATTGACTGTTCCAAAATAATTGTATTGCTGTTTTTTTTTTGTTTTTTTTTCATTACTGAAATGTGTTGATTTTAGGGATGGTAGGGTTTTGTTTTATAATGAAAGGCAGTAAAGGTTTTGTAATTGTGCATATAGTTTTTGCTTCATACAATGAAATGAAAGTCAAGAGGCTTGTCTAAATCGACAAATTTTGTAAGACACCTCTTATTTATGTAACACCGATAACAAGTATTTGGTTTCATTGCTGATTGGTATGCCGTAAGACTCTTTTGGATGTACTGAATTAAAATATAAGCACGGTTCTCAAAGTAAAAACTTGTACAGTTTAAGTAACCTCTTATTAAATTGAATTATTTGTTTGGTGTTTTTTTAAACACGCATCAGCACCACTTCTACTATGTTGTCTAGGTCTAGGAAATTTGAGCCCTATACCTGAATTAAAAGAAAATGAATAATAAACCAAGCGGTAAAATTAAGTTTGCATTTAAAAATAATTTAGAGATTTATAACCATTTCATACAGAATATCTGAAGAATCATGTCATTCTCTCCCATAGCAAAACACGGGAATATTGCCAATTGTTATTTTAATACCCTTTATATTTTAAATAAAATATATGTGGTAATATTTGCAAGGAATACAGTAATATTCAATTGGATGTAGTTATTTTTTTTACAAGTAGCATATTATGAACTGTTATTAAAATGTGCGTTAACTGTATATTGCATATTGATAAACGAACCAAATTAACAGGATTACAGTTTACGTTCAAGATGGATTAAACACTGCTATGTGTGTGACTTAACTAAAAGGAAAATATTTGGTTTTTCCTCCATTTATTTTTGGTTACTATATCATTCTGTTTAAAATGAAAGTGAAATCAAATGTATAAAGGTACTTTGAGTCGTCACGATTGAAAATAGCGTGGCTTCATGTCTTCAGGCTATTCATATTGTTTGTGAGATATTGCTATGAGATTGCTTATATCAACTCAAAGTATGCAGGATTGTACCTTGCAATCTAAAGACAAGAAATAACATTCTCTATTTGAGTATAAGGTGTAAAAAGAGTCGCTTAGTTTTAAATTGTTGATCATGGACGTTCATTAGAAAGAAATTTTAAGTTTTTGGTAGGCAAGCAAAAGTAAACTTTTTTTATAAGTTTAATACAAAGTACTTTTTATCGTAGGATAGATATGATGTTAACGTTTTTAACGACATATTACTTTAATAGATAAGAATAAAAGTACGTATGAGTAATTTTTATTGACTTAATAATTTTTAGCGTCGTAAAAACAAATTATTCAAATGATTCAATTACTATACTCCTTGGTGTTACCTTTTACTACGGATAGAATTTATCATTCCAATATAGTTTTTAAGTTGTAGCTAGTTATAGAACTAAGATTAGAAATCAAAATGAACTCGGCCACCAACAAAGTACGCCTAGTAGAATGAATTAATTTATGTCAAATAAGTCAACTTTGAACCGAACCAAACCAAACTGAAAAGACAGCCTATTGTAAATTATAGCATATTTTATGTTTTATTACAGTATCAAGAGATTCTGGGAGAAGAATCTATGCTCTGGTCAAAAGGAATTAGGTACAGCTAGTCCTCGTAGATAAAATCACTACTTCGGTATTCCTAAATCAACGGTTTAATATGAAACGTCACAAGTGGCCTTTAAACACAAGTACCTTAAGCTAGCATATCTTTAAAACACAAACAGTTATTTTGAGCCCTATATCAATCCTGTAGTACTCTATATCGTAAAATAAAAAAATAAAATTCTATAAGCTTTTTTGTAATTTCTTTCTTGTTTCAAATGCATGATTGATGATTCTCCAGATAAGGGGCGTTTACGTTTAATGTTTTAAATTTCTCAAATACTTAAGAAATAACGTTTACTTTAGTTGCTAGACAACAATAATAAAGCATATGCAGGCACTTTTGTCAATAACAATAATTTCCTTTGTCAATCTATGTTACTGATCTACATTAAGATAATAAAAAGTTTCGAGATTTTATAACTTAATCTTAAAAGTTTTTTGAAGCTTATGAAAAAAGATATTTAGAAAGGGCAAATTTGTAAAGTTAATATAAACTTGGAAAAAGTTAATATAACAAGCCGTAAATAATTCTTGAAATTTCAAAACCGTTTAATAAACTTACCTTTGTCCACCATTTTGTAAAAATCCTCGGAACCAGTTGACGAAAAATTGGAAAGAGCCATTTCTGAACCACTAAACACAACTTGATTCTAACAGAAGAACACTTGAGAGTTAGCAGTAGTTGTATAACTCTGTAGACTCCGTACCATGTAAGTCGCAACTACGATGCTGTATTGGCTAAGATCCTAAACAGGTTTTTCTACTCATAAGTGTTGAGACAAAAACCAAATAAATAAAAACAATCAGCTGGACATAGAAATCCAGTTATATGCTATTACTATGCAACAATAATAATGTAATTAGCACAGCTGCAATTCCTTGGCGGTTGTTTATAACAGTTGCACGTTATAATACATACAAGGAACTACAGTAAGCAAATTTCCATTAACCAAAGAAAAACTTACAGAAACTTTACATTTATTTACAGACCAATAATTCAGCAAGGTCTTAAAATACTTTACAAACGGAACACCAATCTGAGCGTTTATATAACGCCAGTGAAATGCCACTACGATATGGTGTACATCGCTAAAGAAAACCATGGTGCTGCGTTGATCGGGAAACTGGTTTTATTGGTTATAACAAAACGAAAATAAAGGTCTATATTGCTTTATGGAATCCTTCGTTAGCAAGATATCCGCAATCTTTTATATTCAATTATATCTCTAAAACTGTTAAATATGTCTGTATTAAATTTAACATTAGATTTAAAATAACAATGCGTTATTTGCAAAAAACTTATCAAAAAAAGTTAAGAAAAAGAATTTTACTGTTAGAGTAAGATTTTTCCATTTTATTTTCATAACTTAAATTTTAAAAAAATTGCTAACTTTAAGAAAATTTTTAAGAACATCTTCATTTAGCACGCAACATTTCCTTTCAAGCGATACAACGGTAAAAAATGATGATATAACAAACAGCAGAATAATCAACAATTTTTGTTGTAAAATTCGGCAGATAAGGCTAGTTACACCTCATTGAGACTTGTTTTACGAGTAAAAATCCTGGTATTTCACCTTTTTTATCTATATTTTGACTTTGGTCATGTTTTATTGGAATTGGAATTTTTGAATGCTAAATATAAGTGTTTGGTTGTTACAGGACACCCTGTATAATTCACGTGCCCTGTTCAAACAATAACCTTTTCCTACAGTTATCAAATCAAATCGTTGATTGCCGAAACAAAATACATTGTATAGCACCGTATATCACAGCATTGTATTTCTGACAAAAGGGGCTTTCTTGCACTGATAGGACGCAAATTAGCTTAATCCTGCATTTACTTACTTTGCCGCACTCATTCCACTTTGTTGAACTCATTTTACTTTGCTGCACTCCAGTATTTGAACCAAACAACACAACATAGTGTGCTTGTATTAGGCACGTTATACGTGTATACTTAAAAATAAGTTTGCAACATAGCAAAATTGATCAGCTGGGGCTGTGCATTACAAACCAACAATAATATCAAGGCTATGACTCATTATGTTTGTGAAAATATTTTAAGCGTGTTATTTGCACATTTGTGAAACAATTTCATTAAGGTTTTAATTTTATTGTGTGACAATTTCTTTTTGGTTTAAATTTGTTAATTTGTGAAATTGCATAGTAACAGTTAACTAATATATACATACGATTACCCATTATTTATGCTTTATAGTAGCTGTGTGAAAAATATAATGGATAACACGAGCGCAAAGTCTCTTGGCAGCACTCGAGAGAGAATTTAACGCATGACTCCAAGACAAGTGTGGAAAGTTTCTCGAGTCCAGCTAAGTGCCACTTTGCGCACTATTTACACCGATAATTACTGTAAGCCTATGCTTTATCACCAAGAGTACATTAGAAAAATAACTAAAGAATATCATGTACAACGGTTATGTTTAGGCCACAGGCTATTACAGGTTTCAATAAATAATCAATTTGTTATTTTTTGTACTATTTCCTACCAAAACAGTTAAACTAGGGAGATTTGTTTGGAAATAAATAACAAAACCCGTCCATCAGGTCACCTTATCTTTATTTTTCACATCAGATCCTTTTACGATGTACGACTTTATGTAAAAGTTAAGAAACAGACAGAGAATAAAAAACACGTTGGCCAGCCATATGTAGGTGAAGGAGCGAGAGATAGGACACTGTTTGTAGTACAGAATACTGATGTAGGCCAGGATGACTACGAACTGGAACTGAACGTACAAACATTATAGGCCTATACAAGCTGAAATTACCATTATGAGTGTAAAATGAGTTGCCTTTTGGACCTTTACTGACTAATACCAGTTGTTTCATTAGCCTAGACCATTTTATACATGCCCAATGATCAGGGACAGCTGGGTCGTGTTTTAAAAATATCAAAAAGATACTGACTTTTCTCAGTATCTAATCTAGTGACTTTTTGATTATTACTATATATTTTTTGTCCTAGGTCACTAGGCAAGAGCCCGGGGAAAGGTTTCTCATTACTTCAGGCAGGACATAGGGATTGAGTGAGGCATTATCACTTAGATCAAATCCATTGGTGACTTGGCGGGATTTGAACCCGGGACCTCAGGGACCAAAGTCCCGCGCTCTAACCATTAGACCAGCTATCCCCGATTACTAATATATACTAGCACTATAACCACTTGGCTTAAAATGCAGTTAATATTGTTTTTCAGGAAACCTTTTGTGATACCGGTGAAATCAATATGTACTGTATAATCATTTCCTCCATGAAAGTGAGATTTTAGCAAGGCAACATTAAAAAATAAACAAACTTCAACTACGTGAACAATTGTTTAAATGTTACCTTAAAATAATCTATAAAATTTTGCTTTCTAACAACAAAATCGCTATATCCGTCATCAAAGGTTGTTTATATTTATTTTAAATTTAATTAACTACAATAAAATTGTTGAATACAAAAAGATTGAAATAACTGCCAGACAATGATAAACTTACCAACTGCAGTTTGGTTAGGTGATGTTTCCACCACAGATATTTCTTGAAGGCTTTGAATGTTGTCAAAAAGTAGTAACTGTACATGATTGCATGCACAATCAAATTTATAAATACTGGAATGGATCCCTGGGATGCTGGAAAATACGATAAAAAAATGCAAATATTGTTTTAATTTAAACGCCAGTTCGTAATAAAGACTAGATTAAATACCAGTATTCATATGGGTTGTATCAGTCAATAACTTTAAATCTGTGTTTGTACGATTATTAACTACTGGAACCAATCAAAGTAAAGACTAAATGGGTAAGTACTACCTATACTAAACAATATAAAGACATCAAGAAAACGTTTCAGAAAAATGCTGAATTCATGGTTTCATTTAAGGCGAAAAACAAAATTAAAAAGATCCTTTTGGAAATCCAAAAAGTAATAATGAAAAAACACAACAAAATCTGGCATTTATCAAATTCAGTGTGACAGTTGTGAGATGAAGTATGTTGGACAAACAAAAAGAAATGTAAAACTAGATTTGAAGAACACACTTCTCACATAGCACACAACAGACCTGAACAATCAGCAATAGCAAAACATTGTTTAGAAACGGACCACAAAATATCAATCAAAAATACTAAATTACTAAAAAATATAACAAAATCCAATTGACTAAAATGCATGGGAATTATTATTTATAAATAAAATGGACAATTTAGTAAATAATGGTAATGGTCCAATTCAAAATGTAACAATACTAAATTCTAAATTTATAAAGTTATAAGTTAATTCTACTTCATATTTCATTTGTATACAAATATATTTTTTATTTTAGCTAAAAGTATTTAACAGAATAATTTTTATTTTCAACTACCCATATGTTACATTCTTTAAAATTTATCATTATTTTTAAACATAAACATAACCTTCAGTTTTGTGATGTGTCTGATGTCTTATAGCTGGCAAAAGGCCTCATGAAAAAAAATTCTGAAAATATTGGTGAAGTTTTTATTTCAAATTTATAATCCTATAATGTTAAGAATATTAACTTTTATAACATTTGTCTATGTTTATTTTCTAGCGTGATCAGATATTTTTGTTATTATAATTAAAATATTTCACTAGACTTTAAAGCTTTTATAATTGAAAATCAAGAAACAAAGGAATAATTTAAAATTAATAAGCTGCTTAATCTACCTTTACAAAACCTATAAAAAATATTGGCATGATACATTATAATGTATCGAGCATAATGCAGCTGTATCATAATAGCTCGGTGTCATATAATCATTTACCTTTAATGAACCTCAGTGAGAACCAAGGGAAGAACACCATGGCTGCGTGGTGATACACGTGGAGGAATGTTATATGTGAATTCTTCTTTCGCAACACCATGAATACCTATTTCACACCACAGATTAATTTAATGGAATATCTAATAAAGTAACTAATACAACCATAGCATGTGTATTTTATTTATAGGACAGTGACAAATATATTTTCAAATGGTTAACACACGGATATAATACATAAAACATTCGTTTTCTGTGTATGTTGAAAAATCAATATGCGGCTATATTAATTTAAGAAGTGTTTATAAACGGAAATAATAAAGTTTTCTTATACTTCACCAAAAACAAACGTTTTTTATACATGCATTGTGGGTCTAAAGTAGCATTTGTACTCCGTAGAGAGTAAAAATCAGCTGTAATAAACAGTTGTCAATTTCAATTGTAGCAATTACTTGGATCGAAATTATTCATCGATTTAATTGTTGGGTTAAGATCATCAGTTGTATTATTGTAAATAGTTCGACGTATCAATAGTATAATGTATAGTAACATAATCGTAATAAACGAAAATGATTGTATCACTACTAAGCAACTGCTTAATAACATTAACAGAATTGAAAACAAACTGGAAGTCGTTTGAGAGGTTGTCTTTACGTTAACAGTAGTTTCGTTTACTAACTTGGTTTGTTAATTGATTATGCAATATGAAGAAACATCTAGTTCACCACGCAGGCATCACCTTTAGCCATAGTGATAAAAAAAACTATTTTACTTAATAGTAGTTTTTTGAAACCAATTCTTATGGAAGATATAACGGAACACGTATGATTAAGGGGTGAAGAGAAAACATATTACAACACAGTACAAGCAGAGTTAACCCAACATAAATGACTTACTCAAATATCAAATGTCAGTGGCCTCTAGCACTTCTGTCTTGTGTCATTCACTCAGCAAATTTGCTTTAGTTCCTTACTGTGTTTTATAATTGTGAATATACTGGTTTCATCTAAATTTTTCTCACAAGTTTTATTACAATTTTTTATATTCTTATTATATGCTGAACGGGTTAAGCAAGTCACTGATTAATGAGTCTACGCACAGGGTTTCAGCTTATAAATAATTATTGCCTAAATGTTATTGCTTTAACATTATTGATTGGTAAGTGAGGTAAGGATTAAAATAAAAAGATCAGTTGGGCATGTGTAAAGAAGGAGGAGAAAATCGTGATTGAAGGAAATGAGTTAATTTTATGCAGAATGAAGGTGATCTAATGGGATACCAAAATAAATGGTAGGACCAGGTCAAAGCAGCCATAAAGAGTGTAGAAGCCTTCGAAAATTATGCAGACGGCAGATAAAAATCTAAGCTTTTTTGGCATGGCTAAAATTCACCTTGGTAAAAAGATGATCTCAGGAGGGAGTGAGTGATATAAGTTTATTAAAGATAATATTTGCAGCATATTAATTAATTGTTTTGTTAATTTAGGGACTTGAGCTAGTAGCTTGGATATTTACACCCGACCTGACTCTTTTTGGACAATAAAATTTTCTCAAATCACAACCGCGTCTAATTAGATGATGTTAAGGGTGACTGATTAACAGATTAAGATGTGCCATTAAGGGGATAAACTAGAACATATGTTTAGAATAAGGATGTTTGATTTAGTCAGAGACAGTGATAAGACAGCGCTGGCCAGCCTTTACCGTTTCAACCAGTTTTATCACTTTATATTTATTTTAATTATTTGATCAACATAACAAGTTTCGATTATTGTGATTTTGACATAATTTAAAAGAATCTTTTGACAAACCTCAATGTATTAATACATTGATGATGTGGTTGCATACAATGACTTGACGAAGTTCTAAGGAAAGAAACTAGTTGTCATACTGTGGTTTGGTAAGGTGATCCGGTACTTTCCTGTTAAAGGGAACATTCATTATTATCGATGATTTTTCTCGATATATCGATTTTTTTATTTTCCGATCCATTACAAATTGACAACAACTAACTGATCTTGTTTAGGCTAAAATATTCTAAGCTAACCTAACATAACCAACCAAACTTGCTGGACCATTTAAAAATGCCGTTTGGGTTTGATAATAGAAAAGGCAAGTTAAACACGGAATTTGTAAATGCAAGTTTGGTTAGTTATGTTAGGTTATTTTTTTTTTCGAACAGTTTTATTTCATTGTTGTTTGTTGATACTGAACAATATTTATCGCGTAGTTGTCAGCTGATATGTTTCAATTTGTTACTATCGATATATCGAGAAAAATCATCGATAATAATGAATGTTCCCTTTAACAGGAAAGTACCGGTGATCCTTTTATTCGATCAATAATATATTCCAACCAAGGGTGACAATGAATAGTAATAAACGAGAAACAAAAGTAGTATTCTGTATTGCTTTATACTGTATTCCTTTTTAAATACTGGGTCAGGTGGATTTGTATGTATTTGGTAACCAAACTCTGATTATTGACATTGTGAACCTTATAATAAACTATAGATGCTTGAAGATGCATTCAACTATCCCATACACTAAGAAGTTACAACATAAAGTGGTAAAGATTTCATATACTTACCGTATCAAGTAAATCCAGGTTCTTCAACATTTGAAAGTGCCATGCTCCGTATATGTACTATAACAATAAAGTAAATCATAAACCAATGAGCCAAAGGTAATATGAATGTTTGTGTTAAGACAATTATTATAATAACACGACTAGTTTATGGTATTTCATATATCTCGATTGTAGATGTATACCATGAAGTAATTTTAAATGAGTTAGGCACGACTGGTGTAAAGAATGTTATAGAGAACCCCCTAAAAGTAATAAGATAGTTTTTGATCCTAGATTACCAGCACAAATATTGATTTTTATCTTAACTTGGCAGTGTAACTTCATAGAACCTTCATTTATTTTATTCCAGGTCATTCATGGGAATTGAAGTTTACTTCATTGTAGAAATCTGTTTCAGTATAACAACGAATATTTATGTTTAATTGTGCAATCAAATATGGTGATGTTTCATAAATTTCTAAGCTAGTACCAGCGATCGATTAATAGTAAAGATAATTGGTATTATTTCACGACACTAGTCACGTTTCTGTCACTTCAAAAGTTTCTTGAGTTTATAGTATAATATAAACTTAGTCACTTACCAAACTCTTGAGGTAGTCTAGGCCTTCGAAGGGCTTTGGCACTGAACAGCTTATTCGTGTCAGGAATGGCAGAGGCATAACCCCCACTTGAGGCACTAAAAACTACACAAACCCATACAATAAAAAGACCATTTATAAATATGCTCATACTCGAGTAACTGTTAACATTGTAAATTATAAAAGTATTCCACAAAGACCAAAGTGTAGGGAAAGTGAATTGAATATTCAGTATTTAGTTTGTAATGAGGTTATTTGGCAAAACAAACTCAGATAACCTTTGTTATTACATAAAGTATAATGATTTGGCAAAATAGTCAAATTTGTCGATCAATATGCAAATGTCAATTAATTGCAAACAAGATATTAAACGTCATTCAAAAGGTTTTTTAAATAGTCAGAATAATTTAACCTATTGGGGTGTGTGTATCTCAATCTGGTACAAAATATCAGCTTAAAAGTTTTAAATATTTTTGAAATTTTTACATGCAATAATAAAGTCATGTGTTTTAAAATTTCGAATGTTGAATAATTTTAATTTCTGATAGTCCTAAGTAGATCATAGACCATTCTGTACTTCTAAACCTGCTGTAAAAATTTACTTTCTAAAAAATAAATAAGCCTGTTGGGACTTTTTTCTAAATAAACTCAAGGGAAAAACTGTTTGAAATTGTTGCACTCCGAAATATAGTAAGCTGATGGTTATTTACTGCTTGGTTTAGATACAGCTCACTAAGCTGTAAAAACATTTTTTTCGGAAAATACTTATTATTACACGTAAAGGCTTAACAATTAAAAACTAAGAAAAAAATGTTCCGAACTTGCTTCCTCCATTTAATAACGTTTTTCTTGTAATGGAATGAACATTTTTTTCTAAACACACTGTTATGAAATAGACGTCTGATTAGATTAAATACATTTGTAACCCGTTCCAAAATAAAAAGAGGCTAAGTTGAATTTAGCCCAGTCACATTTAGCGAATTCTAATAAGTATTCATGACTCAAACAAAACCTTATATTTAGGCTTTGGTAAGTCGAATTTTAATGTGATTTTTTTATGGTAGTAATCTTAAAAGACGGACAATAGTTGATAAGTAAATCAACCGACAACACTCTGAGGTGGAATAAAGTATCAAAGTATGACTTACGTTGTAAACTATAGTTGAGTTATAAATTATTTGAACGACATTGTACAATCGCATCACAGTCTTTAGCTTGTATGGGCTTCTCTTTTCCATGTACATTGGCCCTAACTTAAATACAAATAAAAAATAGGAAATGAGAGTGATGATAAGAACAGGAGTGCTGAACAGAATCCATGTTTCCATTAACCGATCTGAAAAATCAATTAAATCATAATTAATAAGCTACTGTTAACTGTTTTGTAAACTACACATACTCATTAGTGTGTAAACAAATAGTATTTCTGAAAACGTTTTAATTAACTGTTAAAAATATTTGTTTGAAGATAATTTCAGTAAAGGCTTTTGTTATGTTAGTAATTAACGACAGTAATTGGCATTCAAATTGATATTAAAAAAAAAATAATAATTAATGCCACAAAACATTGCACAGAATATTGTTTGGGTATGTTACTTACAGAACCATGAGTTTATTGAAGTCATTGAATTCAAATAGTAACTAATAAAATAGTAAATAGGCCAATAACATATATAATAAATATACCAGTTTTTTACGGAAATACCTCTAAGTACACTTTCTTCACCCTTAACCACATTAAATATTCGTTCTATGAGAAGTTGTCTCATAAAAAAGTAATATTTAAAATTGATTTCACATTTAAATATTAATAACATCTAATGCTTCATAGCCGAAGGAAAATTTGAGAACTGACTTTTAAAATACTATGTTTGATTTTTACTTTACCTCAACTACTTTATAAGGTATTTTAATTTTTATCAGGTAAAAAATATCCTTTCATTATTGGGAAGTTTGAAATGGTTGTGTGTATAGAACATGTTTAACATATAAAACATTAGTAACTATTTTCTCATAAGCTTTTAATGAAATTAGTTGTAACTACACATATTGTACTGCAAAATACCCAAATAAAGTCAAAAACTAAATTTCAAGTAAATCGTAAACAACATTTAAACAATTCTTACATAATTATTTAATATCCCTAATATTTGGTGGTCATTTGAGTATGTCAAAGAAAGGGTACCATCTCCTAAACGCAATCTTACCCAAATAAAAACACAGTATTAATAGGTATGCATAAAATGTAGTATTAAAATATACGATATACTAATTTACTGTACTCACCAGGATCAATCAAATTTGAATAAAATTCGTCTGTAAGATTATCATTTTGAATCATGTATTCCACTTCTACTGTCATTTTGCTTTAAACGATAAACGTTACTGTAACGCTAATCAATTAGACGTATTAAAGAGGCAACATCACTTTTGAACCATACTATTATAACACACTAATAACCATGTATTTCAATGATATCTATGAATCCACCACAGTTCACAAGGTTTTCAAAATCACGTTACACAAACATTTTCTTCAATTAGAGTTAATGATTATTTTGCTTCACGAACCTAATTACATGATTAGTTAGTTTCAAATAACAATTAACGCAATTCGATAGAACGGTTGAAGTGAAAACGAAGAGTAAAACAATGTGTTCGAGTTAAGGTCAAACGTAAGCAAGGCTATTGAATTGTATGATAATGCAAAAGACCTCGGAAACTAATTTGTGAGCTTTGAAACTCTTCTTAACGAGCACAGCAACTAACAAACTGATACTGTACCCACCACTTGGTGGAAACTTAACAATAACAACTTAACAAAATTTGCCTTTTTAAAACTTCCTTGGAAAATTTACCCATCAGCAAGTGGTTTTATTTTTAGTGATTTTTGTAACTATTTCCGTTTGAAAATAGTCAGGTTTTCAAATATTTTATTTACTATCCCTTATACTTTATATAAGATTAACATTTTATTGGGTAGTATTGCCATATTCCCTTGTGATCAAACACAAATCCATATCCCTAGGATAAACATACTCCCTTATGATCGAAGAAACATCCATAACCCTAGGATAAATATACTCCCTTGTGATCAAAGAAACATCCATATCCCTAGGATAAACATACTCCCTTGTGATCAAAGAAACATCCATATCCCTAGGATAAACATACTCCCTTGTGATCGAAGAAACATCCATATCCCTAGGATAAATATACTCCCTTGTGATCAAAGAAACATCCATATCCCTAGGATAAATATACTCCCTTGTGATCAAAGAAACATCCATATCCCTAGGATAAACATACTCCCTTGTGATCAAACATCCATATTCCTTGGATAAAACATAGGCTACTCCCTTGTGATCAAACAAACATCCATATCCCTTGGTTAAAAAAACATACACCCCTTGGATGAAAAAAAACATACCCCCTTGTGATCAAACAAACAAACCCATTTCCCCCCCCTTTTTTTGTTCCCTCGTGCTGGTTAGTATATTGTATTACTGATAGGTATTTAATTCCTTAATGTTAATATTGCAACAACACATTTAAATAAAAGAGCAACAAATTTACGTGAATTGAAAAAAATATTTCCTCTAATCTATATGTTAACATGTAACTTATACTATTATTCATAAGATAAATTAATACAAATGAGTTAATATAAGTAGTAATTATTTCAAAACAAGTTAAATTTAATAAATACAACACTTGTTTTCATATAATGTATAAAGTCAAAGGGAAATATAAAATAATACAATTGTTTGCACGTGTACAAAATATTTATTTTACACATTCAAAAAAACAAAAATTTAAATGCACTATTATATACAATCGTGTTTTATAATAATTTGTTTTGGAGCAGTATTACTTTATTCGTCAACTGTGCATTTTGAATTGTTGCATTGCGAGTAAACTAAGGTTATACCATATTTTTTATGAATACTTTTACTCAACAGTTAGAAACACTCTCATCGTCACGTCATTTAATCCACAATGACACGGCGGTCGACAAAGCCAATAACGCCCGGGGCTCGTGAGCGGCTGGCAAAGGGCGGCGGAATGTCATGGTGATATTTAAAACACTCGGGTCGTAATATAAATGTATTTTATACCTGTAACTTTGTACGTAACTTTATACCCATTGCCAATTTTAAGTTTTTCGCAAGGGGATGGTTGTAGACTATTTCATTTTATAATTATCAAAGATTAATCAGTATGCCGGCGAGACATTTGCCACGTTAAAAAAACTTCGAGTGAAATATACATGGTGTCCCACGAAGAGATTTAAACGTTTGATGTTATATTTCTTGTCCATTTATAAACCGAATATTTTGAAACTTTACACAATTTATGAAGTAGATTTAAAAAGTATTTTGGGAAAATTTCAGTTCCATAACAATGTTGTGGAATAAAAATGGTAGCATATTTAAAATGTTACCAATTTGCTTCCTATAAGAATGCTGTCAGTTGTAATGGTGTGCTGTACTACGACATTTCAGACATTAAAATGACTGGAAATAGGCATTCACAAGTTTTAAATGAACTTGTCTTGACTCATTTTACGGTTCCAGAAATGTATCAAGCAATCTTCAAAAAAGATGGTGCAAATCATGTCAAGCAATTACTAAATGACAACCTTCATTGCCATTGGATTGATCGTGGAAGTTTTTTTTTTTGTAATTAGACATCTCGATCCCCAAATTAAACTGTGTGACTTTTTCATGGGTTTACTTGAAGGAACAAGCTAATACATATAGATTCAATAATGATGAGGAACTAAAACAACCAATTGAAAGGGAACTATTCTAGATGCAGCAGAATTTCTTTGTAAGAGCTTAATATGATTCATCAGTTAAGCGCTGTTATTAGTGTGTCACTGTGGAAGGATGGTTGAATAATTTTCGACTCTACTTTTAGCTTTTGCTTTAATCTAGAGTTTCCTGATTAAAAAGCATTATTTCCCTAGAATGTGAATAAAAACATTTTACAAAACCAAAAACAGAATGTTTAATGTTTTTAAAGTATCATTTTTTAATATGCCAAACATGTTCTTTCTTCAGGGGTTAGGGAGCTGAAATTTTCACAGAAAACTAAGTTGTGAAAAGTTTCAAAATATTCGGTACATAAATGGGCAAGTAATACCAAATCAAACGTCTGAACCTCTTCGTGGGACACCCTGTATAGCTTCAAATATATAGTTTAGTCCTCCTAGATACTTGTGGTTCAGGTTTTGAAATGAAAAATAACAGTTTTAACTGCTCTAAACCCATGAAGCAACATAACGTTGTGCCGATTTTAGTAATAGAATATTGTTAGTGTTTCATCTAGTGGTATTACATTGATGTGGGTTTTTAATGTTATTTACAATAAGATCGATAAATAGCCCCTATTTGTAAGCCATAGAGTTCATACTTTTTAATCTCAAGATAATTGTAGCAAAAATGCAGACATTACGTATTTAAATGAGTTTTCGTGGATTGACATAATGTATTTTACAAAACACATATTTGATGATCAAACAAAATACCCGTTTTCTTTTAAATCAGATTAAAAGTAATAACATGTATTTAGTATAAAAAGTAAAAAAGTAAACTAAGCTATATTTAATAAGACCTAAACTATTTGCCTAGTTTTACATGTTTACTACTATTTTCAACACTTTTTGTGACTTTTGAACTTTTTCTCGATGTTTTGTTATATGATTTGAAATAAAAGTTGAGGAACAATACGGTGAATATGACGCCCTGTAGAGCGGCGTACACATTGTAGGCGGTCTGAAGTGGTGGTGTAGAACACATGGCCAACAGGGATACGAAGAACACCATCAGCACGAAGAACTGGAACTGTCACCGACACAGCGATTACAATCTAGACTACTTAATATTAAAAAAAATATTCGTTATTACAATCCAAAGTTTTTATGGACACCTCTATAAAATTCTAATTGTAAACATGGAAAACAATAGACTTGAGTTATGAGCTAAAGAGTTTTTTTTAATTCACAATTAAGGATTTTGCGCTAGTTTTCTGGAATGTTTTTGGAGATTCAAAAGGACGGGCTTGTGTACAAAAAAAAAAGATTGTCTATAATCGTAGTTAGTGTAAGATTTTAGTATCCCGTTCATAATATGTTTGACAAAAGCCATATCCTTTGCAATACGTTATATATTGTTTGGTAAAACTAACTTCCTTCAGCACACAGCAGTTCATAAAAAACCTAAGCTTATAATAATCCAAATGGTCCATTGCATTAAAACAATCCTGCATTGAAACGTGCTGTTTTAATATTACATTTAAGATGATGACTAACAAATAGATTACAATGGTTAGGTTTTCGAAATGTTACAAGTCCTGAGAGGCAACTAAAATTTAAAAGTTAAATGGCCAAATCAACTGTCATAATAAACAGTTAAACATGTATTTTTCTACAAGCCTTAATCAAAATAATAAAGCCCAAACAAATAGGTTTGCAATGTTTGTTTGCGCGAAACACGGGCAGAACAACAAGTGTAAATAATACAAATTAGCATAAACCTAAACCTTAGCATGGGAAACCTTCATAGTATAGGGTTGGTTGGAAAAAGCTTTAAATCAAGTTTCCTGAGATTGTTTAGACATACATTAGGTAGTCTAGATCACATTATAGATAAAAGGGTTGTTTTTTAACTAATATATTTGAATAGTCTTTCCGTTTACTAAACATAGATAGTTTCGTACACTAAACTGATATTTTGAATGTCAAATGCAGTAATTATACAAAAATGCATAAACATAACGGCTGGACACTTGCAAAACTTCGATTCCAACCAACTGAGATTTCAACTATAGTATTTTGATTAAAGATAGATATTTGTAATTAACTGTTAGCGTCCATGTATAAGGTAGATACATACGAGTTGTAGCCAGGTGATGTATCGTTTCCACCAGAGATATCGCTGAACGCCGGGCCCCAGAGCTGATAAGAAGTAATAACTGTACATGATAATGTGCACAACTGAGTTGACCAGCCCGATCATGATGCCTTGCTCTCCTGTAACAGTCGACATTGCAATGCATTCACTCTAGGCTATATACTCCCAAGTGAAAAGTATTATTTTAGATCCATAAGGATTCACTTATAAATATTGAGTTATACTCAACTGTTAGACAAAACTTACCCAACTGTTAATCAAATAAAAACTTGGACATTTCTTTAATAATATTACACTAAACTTGACTACGTAAAAGTATACGTGTAGCATACGTTATTCGTGGATTGGTGGCATATAATCGAAAACACTAATAAAACTCTATATTTAGTTAATTGTATCGGAAATTATATCGGGGACTCACCTCTGACATATTTCAGATACAACCACACGATAACTACCATGTGCGTGTGATGATACAAGTGTAGAAATGATATGTGTGATTGCTTCTTCCTCAACACAAAAAACATCTAGAAAATAAAGAAACTATAAAAACCTGTTTTCTTTATATTTAAGGCCTCGTTTGTCAAACCAGATACAAATTTATACTTCTATGATAAATAGGAGCTGTTTAAAATACATTCCGCTAGCAGTCTTGTGCGACACCCAGTCGGTAATAATCACTCACTCAACATGTTTTAAGGTCAGTGATTTATTAAACAGCATTTTAAACACATAAATATACCTATAAATCAAGCCTTAATAATTTGTCTTATAAGCTATGAATGTAATTGCCTATTTTTAAAAGTTTGAGACTTCTTTCCATTTTCTAGACCTCGCTATTTTACCTAAAAAGGGAACATATCTTACAGTTGAAAAATATAACAAATAAATGTAGATTTTAAATGCCCTTACCGATACACATAAAAACTATTTTAGACAAACAGCATACAATACATATTCCTCTTTAGCACGTTAAATTCATTTGCTTTATTATCATTAAGTTTTTGTATATATATATATATATATATACTAGCTGACCTGGCGAACTTCGTATCGCCTAAGTTATAGGTTTCCCCTAAGACAGACCGATGGAAAGAAAGTACCGTTACGTTTAATTTTCAAGATGATCTCGTTCGCATCGCTCAATCACGTCCTGGTTGAAGTTCGTTCGCTACGCTCACTCACCTTTGGGTTGGAGCTCGTTCGCTACGCTCACTCACCTTTAGGTTGGATCTCGTTCGCTGCGCTCACTTGCCTTCAGGTTAGCTCGTTCGCTACGCTCACTCGCCTCCAGGTTGAAGTTCGTTCGCTACGCTCACTCACCTTTTGGTTGCAAATTAGCTGTTGTCATAAATGTAAAAGAAATAATAGTGCTGCACCCTGTTGGTAATCCTTGTAACTTTAATGCTATTGAACATCATAGAACAGAACCAACTTGTTTAATTGAAAGGTATGTAAAATGAATTGTTGTATTGAAAATAATTTTGGTTTAGTGTAACTTTTGTTAGTTTGATTACATCATTAATTTGAGGTCTTGTTAGTGTTCCATGGTCGATTAATTGTTGTTCGAGTATCTAAATGGTTTCATCTATAGGTATGTTTGTATACATGTCATTTACATCAAATGAAAGAAACAATGAGTTCTGTGGTATATTAATATCTTTTTTTGTCTATCAATTCGTATGTATTAGATACATTGACAGATTTGTTCAAATTTATATTGTTTTTTTTTTACTGTGTAAATATTTACATAAATTGTAAGTAGGGGATTGTCGAAAATTGTCTATTGGTCTAATTGGGATGTCTTGTTTGTGCGTTTTTGGTTGTGCTCGTAATGTAGGGGATTTTGGATTTGGCATTTTCAAAGATATTTTGTCTTTTTGTGTGATGCTTTTACATTTTGATATTGTTGTATTTGTATTTTTTGTGCATGTTTCTGTTGGGTCTTTTGTTGATAATTTAAATTTACCCTTTTCAAGATAAGCACTAACCTTATGTTGGTAATCAGTTTTCTTTATAACAACTATTGAATTTACTTTGTCATTTTGTGTTAATATTGCATTATTTTCTTTTAATTTTTCAGCTATAGAATCAATAAGAGATAGGTCTTCTTTGGTTTTTCTTTTGGAATTTGGTCGTTTGTTTTCCAATTTTAGTTTATTTACTTCATGTATAAGGTTGTGTCTAAAGTGTTCTTGTCGGTCGTCTTCTTGTTGTCTTATGGATATTTCTAAGTTAAGTAAATCTTCTTTTATGTTATGTTTTTAATGGTATAGATTTAGATTATATTTAGATGTATATATTTTCTTACCGTATCGACTAAATCGGCTACCTTGGACATCAGCCACACCCATGTCACTTTAAATGACTGAAAAATACAAATTAAAAACTTAGACAGTAATCTTCACAGATGGGATTATATGTTACGAATAATTGAGTATGTTATAGACATCTCAGAAACAAAAGAACCCTGGGCCATTTCGGCCCGCACAGGATTGAAGGGTACGCCACACCTACTGGCCCGAACCACGTGATCTTTTCGTTTCTGCGCAGGTTGTTTTGTTCTTCGGATGTCTATAAGTAAAAATATAGTGAAACAAAACTGCACTCAAGACATAGTTTTACCACTGTTTCTTTAACAAAAACGTCTTTCTCTAAATTTATGTCTCATACATTTCTCAGAACACAACCTTACTTATACACTATAGTATAAATTGTTGGTTTCATAATTTTGCAGCGTTGCCAATTCGAAGGGAATTTGGGCCTTCGAGGGTATTTTCGAGGGTAATTAATTTTTAAGGGTAAAAAGGGGTATTTTCAACAACCCAAGTCCAACATTAATATTATATCCAATATTAATATTAATATATCCAATATTAATACCGTAATAATAATTCATTTATGTTAATAATAATCATAATAATAATAATTAATAATTCATTAATGTATTTATGTTCATAATTGTTATTACTCAGGAATGTGTTGCACAGTCTGATGCATGATTCATGAGTGTTTAACTCTGTGGCGTTTCTCGTCGTCCCGTCTTCGTCATCCATCGGGATTCGTGAAATTGAAACGTTGTGGAATTTGCTTATTCATTCCCATTCCCGTTGTCTTTCCAGTCTCCACTCCGTTCGCTAACCGGCTTTCGTAGTTCAGTTGATAGAATATTAGTAGTTTTGTTTGTTTGTCGGCGAAGCGTGAAAATGAAAATTGAAGCAGTAAAGTGTAAAGTGAATTGTTAGATTCTTTTTTGGAGATTAGTGAAGCTGATGTTCCTAATTTGTTTGGACCAGATATGTGTTTGGACTGTATTTATCCAATGTAGGCTACTTATATGATGATGATTTAGACATTTTATAAACTCAAGGTTTTAAATGTAGTCCTACTTCAGTATGTAAAGTTGGCTTGTGGTTGTATTTTTCTGTTGTGTAGACCTAGAACCAACAAACTTTGGTAGTTTAATGAATAACCTATTTTTTAATGAACATCGTAATAAGTAGGCCCTAGCTTACTGTAGACTTAGCCTAGTAGACTTTGTAAAAGGTTGGGTGATTATGACATATTAACTTTGCGATAAGTGAAGGTGCTTTTTACTGACCAACGGACATATTTATTAACCACCAGACTTCTAGCATTATCTAAGACTTGACCCTAGCCTACTAACTAAGCCTAATACCTTCTCTTTAATGTGTAAACATCTCTTTAACAAGCAATATTGAATAGTGATTACGGTATAATGCGTAACTGCCTCTTAAAGTTTTCAAAAGCCAAACAAGATCGTATTAAAGAGGATGGCAGGCCTGAATCCTCGAACACAAAAACGCCTGAACCTAAACCTGGCACAAGTTCGACACCTGATGTGTTGCCGGTCGTTGAATTTGACGATGATGACCCGGATGATCCGGCACCAATTTCTGACTTTGATTCTATTGATATCCCACGAGCCTTTGTCGGGGAATCAGAAGAAAAAAGACAAATTTAGGGAAAAGCAAATACAAAGCCAGTGAGCTAAGATTTGTTCAAGGTTGGTTAAAGTTACCTCTCTTTACCAACTGGCTTGAAAAAGCAAAAAGCAAAAGAAAAAGGTTATGACATGGCTTATTGCAGGATATGCGACACTAAATTGACAGCCCATAAGACAGAGCTTCGTAGGCATTCGAAGAGTGCAAGGCATGTTAAGCGGAGTAGGGAAATTGTGTCAAACAAGGATTTTACGAAAATGATTGCAGAAGGGAAAATTGATGACCAAATTAAAAGGGCTGAAATAAGATTAGCAGGGCTTATAGCAGTGAACAATTTACCATTCTCTGTAATGGATACCCTCTCACCTATTATACAAGATATTTGCCCTGATTCCAAAGTTGCAGAAAAATTAGCAATGAGATGAACAAAAACTACCAATGTTATAAAGCAAACCTTGGGGAGGACATTTTTATAGCTACTCTATAACAAATTAGGTGAGCCAGGGTCTTTTTTTCTCTAATCATGGATGAGACAACAGACATTGGAACTAAGAAACAGGAACTAAGAAAAAAATGTGCTCTGTCAGTAATGTATTGTGACAAAAGAACTGGTTCAGTAAAACCCAGGTTGGGTAAAACCAAGGTTGAATACCTTTCCAATTCAATGGTGACTTGTGTTTTAGAAAAGAACATTCCAATCGAAAATTTAGTTGGTTCTAGTGCCGATACCACCAATTCGATGGTGGGACAGCACCATTCAGTGTTTTCTTTTTTGAAAGAGAAGTACCCGCAAGTAGTTTGTGTCAAATGGTCGTGCCATATGGCTCATTTGGCAGCTAGCAAAGCTTGTCTTAAACTACCAAATGAAACCAAAGATATTTTGAGAAATTTGGCATCACATTTCAACAGAAGTTTTCCTAGCACTAAAAGAGTTTAAATTATTCTTTGCAACTGAGGTACACAAGATACTGTCACCTTCGATTACTCGTTGGTTATCCTTAAAACAATGTGTGGATCATGTGATAGAACAGTTTGAGCCGTTGAAAGCTTATTTAAATCTTTATTATTTAAATTTTTGTTTGAAGAACCTTCATCTACAGTTCGGAGCATGGTTGTGTGTATGAACAATAGATTCACAAATGTTTATTTAGAGTTCTTGGCATATGTTTTAGGAATAGTCACTGATAGAAGCTTTTTTAATTAACTGCATGAATTTCTACACTGAATTGGTTTCACAGATCAAATCAAGATTCAACTTTTCTGACGGTGTTTTTGACCGCATAAAAATAGTAGATCCCAAAACTGCCCAAGATTTCAAAATTAAGAGTCTCATTCATGTTTTTCAAAGATTCCCAGTCCTCAAAAATATAGTTGATCCTCAAAAAGTTGATTCAGAGTGGAAGCTACATGCATTGAAGTGGAAGGAAATCAAAGAACTCGAAGCAGCAACACAAAATGTAACACATAATGAACATGCTGACAGATATTGGAGTAAGATGTTTGAAGTAAAAAATGCAGTAGGTGAAAATTATTTCCAAATTTACAAAAAGTTATAGAATTATTACTGGTTTTTCCTTTCTCCAATGCGCCTTTAGAAAGAGTTTTCAGCAATTTTAAACGGATGCAAAACTAATGACATGAATAAATTAAAAACTGAGACTGTTGTGGCTCTCATGGGAGCAAAACAAGGTATTGAAAGTGTGGGTGGGTGTGTCAAATTTGAACCCACGAAGGAGATGTTGAGGAAAAACATTTGAAAAAAAAAACTAAGTGAGATAAATAGTGAGTAAACTGTAAATAGTATAGTGAGGAACATTTTATCATTACTTAAATTGGTAAGTTGTAAATTAAGTTTATTGTTAGTTATAGGCAAGAATAAACATAGGCCTAATTTTAACCCTATTTTGCTGTCAAAGAATAATAATATATATGGGCCCAAGAATAAATTTGTTACTGTGTCTGCTTTAGTAGAATATTGTCCAGTAACATAGTAAATATTTAATACAAGTAGGTCTTATGAGTTTTATGTTGGATTTGTTAGGCATGATTTGGCTAATGGTAAATCTTTAATATCTGGATGGTTTGTAGTGCTCTTGACGCATGGCTTTAGGATTTTAGCCAGTTCTAATTAGGTTCCTGTAATGTGTTTATATTTAACTTAAGCATTGCACCTTGATTTTATAAAATAGTCTACATTTCTCAATACAAAGTCAATACTTTATAGTCAATACCTAGTACGATAACAGGTTCTCGTGTTGCGACGTCGGTGGTTTATGAGGATGGACTTTATTAGCAAACAGGAGGTACTTCATTTGTACTTACAAACAGCCTGAGAGCTTGGTTCCGAGGAGGATAGGACGGACTGCAAGCTTCTTGCATCATGTAGCCAAACATCTTTGACTCGCTGAAATACTAAAATTATAATGAACATTTATATTTCAACCAAACATAATAATGTAAATTTATAGAAGTACAATTAACAGGACAAAATGGAAATGATTCTTTAATAGGTTATAAGATCATCTTTAGAATTTTTTTTTAAATGCCAGAGGCATTTTAAACGTAAGAACCACAAAAAACTTTGAAGGATTCCTTTCCAACCCATTGATTGCAGAAAACCAACCCCGTCTCTCTCGCGTAACAGCACACGCAAAATATGCGATAAAAATCTCTATATATACAAAAATATGCTTATTACATGTACTTATGCTAAAAATAAGTACATACTATGTATGTACTTAAGTACGCACAAGTACACATAATACGAATGTTTTTGTATATATTAATTCTTTATGTTTCATGTATGAATCTTTTATTTTACGATTTGTCTTTAGCATTAGTCATTTCATGATAAGCATAAATGTACAAGTAGGATGTATAATGTACAAGGCTAAATTTATAACGAAGAAATTACAACTTTCTATTTTTGTCACAAACAACAAACCTGACAGTAGGAGGACTTGCAAATACATATAAGCTTAGTATACACACATCAAACACAAAGAGGATTAGGGATCTTAACATAACAACATTAAACAATTTAGTTGTAAGTTTTTCCTTGCAATATTAAAGTACTTAGTTGTAGTTAGATAGACGTTGTAGACCTTCAAAGGCAAAGGTAGATTGACCATGTTTATCAAGTTAGTGAGGTATTGACAGAGTTGGAGCAGAAGTTTGTACAAAAACTTTACCATTACGGGGACAGTGTGGTCAGAGTATCCAGCTCAATCACGGCTAACTTGGTTACAACACGAAAACACCTCTCTTTTGGTCTAATGTCTTCTAAACATTACCGAATGCCTAGTAGCAAATACAACTGATTCAAAATAAAGTAAAAAGTCATTTTAAAATTTATTTCCATGACATAGATTTTTTTTTATTTAAAATATCTAAATAATACATCCGAATATAATATTGTTCTTTTATTTGCATAAAACTTACTTTATCAAACAAAAAATTTGTTATCGTTACTAATTTTTACTTTTTGTAAGGTCAGTTAGGCCTAATAGTACCGTAATCATAGAACTGTAATACAGTATTCGTCAATATCCAATATTTATTTCATTGGTATTTTTCTCAATAAAATAAATGGAGGCATAGTCAACACGAATCAATCCTTAGGAAATTCAAGACAGTTTCACCTTTATTCGCTTACTTTAAAATATCAGAATTACATCATTAATTAAATGTGAAAGTATTCTACTCACCAAATGAAGAAACCAAATGTTGTATATGACTTGTGCGATATTGTACACCATCATGGTATACTTTAGGTTGAAGGGCTTGCGATCTGCCATGAGGCGAGGTCCGAGATACGTTACGAACGTGAGGTAGCTTACCATGAGGGCAGTTACAGGGTAGGGACTGGACATCATCCAGTGCGAATCTATAGCTTCATCTGGGGAAAACAGAGATGATAATTAGTAGTCGAGGTCCGAGATATGTGACAAACGTGAGGTAGCCTACCATGAGGGCAGTTACAGGGTAGGGACTGGACATCATCCAGTACGAATCTACAGCTTCATCTGGGGAAAACAGAGATGATAATTAGTAGTCGAGGTCCGAGATATGTGACAAACGTGAGGTAGCCTACCATGAGGGCAGTTACAGGGTAGGGACTGGACATCATCCAGTACGAATCTACAGCTTCATCTGGGGAAAACAGAGATGATAATTAGTAGTCGAGGTCCGAGATATGTGACAAACGTGAGGTAGCCTACCATGAGGGCAGTTACAGGGTAGGGACTGGACATCATCCAGTGCGAATCTACAGCTTCATCTGGGGACAACAGAGATGATAATTAGTAGTCGAGGTCCGAGATATGTGACAAACGTGAGGTAGCCTACCATGAGGGCAGTTACAGGGTAGGGACTGGACATCATCCAGTACGAATCTACAGCTTCATCTGGGGAAAACAGAGATGATAATTAGTAGTCGAGGTCCGAGATATGTGACAAACGTGAGGTAGCCTACCATGAGGGCAGTTACAGGGTAGGGACTGGACATCATCCAGTGCGAATCTACAGCTTCATCTGGGGACAACAGAGATGATAATTAGTAGTCGAGGTCCGAGATATGTGACAAACGTGAGGTAGCCTACCATGAGGGCAGTTACAGGGTAGGGACTGGACATCATCCAGTGCGAATCTACAGCTTCATCTGGGGACAACAGAGATGATAATTAGTAGACGTGGTCAAAAATGCATGACAAACCTGAGATAGGTTACAATGAGAACAGTGAAAGGGTGAAGACTACAACTTCAATTTAATAAGCAATATTTACGTCCATAAAATATAAAGAAATGGGTTATAATTATTTGTCAAGCTTGATAATTGTTTTCACATTCGTTTATAAAATACAGTAGTTTTAACCATCCGATTGAGTGGTTACAGTGCAGGGCTTCAGTCCCTGAGGTCTCGGGTTCAAATCCCGCCGAATCACCAATAGATGATAGATGTTATCTAAGTAATAATGCCGCAACCCCTAGGTCTAGCCTGAAGTAATGTGAAAAAAAGTCCCAGGCTCGTTCCTAGCGTAAAAAAAAACAAAAAAAAAACTATCCGATTACCACTTATTTAACTTCATGGATTTCTGTTATATAGACCCCAAAGGGGCATAAGGATGTGTAAGGGACATTTCCTCCTTTGAAACATATTCAGCCACGATAGCCAAAAAAATTTTTACTCATCTGACAATTATAACTTAAGCCGGAGTAAATAAATCGATAGACTTTATGAAGTGTCTGGGCTACAGAGTAGCTTGTATGCATAGGAAATAAACCAATATATTGTACTGGTGTACTGGTAGTGTAGATTATTTTGCATATCCATCGTCTACTTACCAAAACCTAAACTATTTTTGTGAGCTATATCTCTGTACAGATCGGTCAAGTCTCCACCTTTTGCCCCCTCTGCCTATACTCAGATGACCAGCGCCAGGCCATAGGCCCGCCGCACATTGAAGCGAGGCGAGGTGCAGGCTACATGCAGGCTAGGTGCAGGCGGAAGAAAGGACTTTTTCGTGACACCGCACATTGAAGCGAGGCGGAAAGAGGTTTCCTAGCTTTGGTCCTACTTTCGCGAGTAGAGGAAGATTTCTTTGACCTTAACTGATCAAATCATTCATTATCATTCTGATTGTGAGTTGAATAGTAGTTTTACTCAATTCGCTATCCAAAAAACGTAAAAATGTTTTTGGAAATGTGATAACATAAAAAAAAGATTAAGCCATGTTTTAACTACTGACCAGCCAGACCGGTCTTTTAGAAAATATTTTCGTGTAAACAAACAACAGTTGATGATATCCATAATTTTATTGAAAGTGGCATTAGCAAAATGGAATGCAATGCTCAACAACATATAACCATCTGAATTAAATGCTCCATTACAATATCTTTCACTCACAAAACACTAGAAAACCCAACGCAGGCGCGGGCAAGAAGCAAGCAATGTATTTCAACTACAACGCCGTGGAGGACCGACAGAGGCTGCTAAATGTGCGGTGCTCCATTTAAACATGTGTATTACAGAATCATCTGTGCCTCACCTGCACCTCTCCTCGCTCCAATGTGTGGCGGGCCAAGGCATGATTGTACTTTCTGATTGTAGTAGCGCGTTGCATACCACACAGTTCAAGAACCCCTCAAACCTCATACCTCTGCAACATATCTCAGCACCATCAGAGTACTAACCTGTCGCCTAATTAGACATGGAAGTAGTATCAATGATGTATAATTATGTTACAAATAAAGTTGTTGTTTTATAATAGTTTTTTTCCTATGTTTTACCTTATTTGTGAAGGTGGCTTCAGACCATGAAAAAGGGTAAAAAAACATGGGCTAAGGCATTTAACATTTTCACAGTGATAAAACATTATGGACCTTATTATTTTTAACATAATTTTTTATTTTATTTTATTCATTTGTTATAATTGGTCTATTACCTTGCCATTGGCTGTATGGGCTATTAATTAACAGCTGTGCCTAAGGAACATGTCGACCTTAGTCACTAACAAGACTACAAGATCACGCCACTCACCCTACACTAATATCCATTCATACTTGGCTTAAAATACCTAAATTCGTATGGTTACAATTTCATAGGAAAGTATTAACGTATAAGAAGTTTATGATGGGATAATCCAGAATGATCAAAATAACTATATTTGCTCACCTTCCCATTCTTGAAATTCATACGGTTTCAAAGCCTCCTGGAATGTCATTTTTAGAACGTTTGCAGAACTAACCATACCTAGAACATTCGAATATATGTTTATAATAAAAGGACCTACAAAAACAACTAACGTTTAACTTATTTTTATATTTGTATATAGTATCGTAATTCATTGTTAGCTTTACTTTTACAAATGAAAATACTTTAGACACCAAAATACTTTTTTACAGTTTCTCAACTGGGCTACGATACTATCGGATGAAATTATCGATCAGCAATCGAAATTGCGATCATTACACTTTGATTCGACTGTTGAATAATCGCATGTCCACTATTCAGACCATAATCGATTCGATTTTTTCAACATGGAAGCCAATCTAGTAAAAAGCAAAGTTCTTCCAAACCTCATCGTACAAACTATTTTTTAACGGTTACACGCCCCCAGGATTATTAAATTTCGTAACACAAAGAAAATCTACCCAACTTTCAAATATATTGCGGTGTAAATAAGAACCGCAATATAAGAATATAAGAATGCAATATAAGAATGGAGGAAGCTACCAAGCTATGACACCAAGATAATGTTAGGTGATGCTAATGGGAAGATTGGACAGGAACCAGTATGGAAAGGTACAGCGGGAGGGAATAGCCTCCATAAAGAAAGCAATGACAATGGAATGAGATTGTTGAGTCTGGCAGTTGGCTGTGACATGAGGGTTATGAGCACGTTTTTCCCAAGGCAGGACATCTACAAGGCAACATGGGTATCACCGGATGGTCACTCCAAAAACCAAATAGACCATGTACTAATTGATAGACGACACTCTAGTCATATTACAAATGTACGCACCATACGAGGAGCTGAATGTGGTTCAGACCACTACCTAGTATTAGTTAAGGTGAAACAAAGAATCTGCATTGAAAAAAGGAAGGGACAAGAAATTCACGAAAGCATTGCAGTTGAAAAGTTGAGAGAAAAGGACACAGCTAAGGAGTTCAAGATTAAACTATCCAATAGATTTCAAATCTTGGAGGAACAAGAACAAAATGACAAACTCACTATTGAGGAGAGATGGACGTCACTACGAAACACAATACAAAAATGTGCTGAGGAAGTTTGCGGGAAGAAAAAACGAAGCAAAAACAAACCCTGGTTTGATGAAGATTGTAGAACAATGATAAATGAAAGGAAACAAGCTAAAGACGTTTTGTTGAAACATGGAAGAGAGATTGACAGAAGGAACTATGAGATTAAAGCAAAAGAAACAGTAAAAATTCTCAGACGGAAGAAAAGAGAATAGATAAATAGATTGCTGGAAAAGACGGAAGAGGACCAAACAGCTAACAACTCTAGAGAATTCTATCGAAGAATTAGATGGTTCAAAAAAGGATTCAAACCTAATGCATATGGCATAAAAAACAAAGCAGGGCAAGTAATTATACAGAAAGCCGAGGGTCTAGAAGTATGGAGAGAATATTTCTGCGACCTATTAAATGGTGAAGAGGATACAAATCACACAGAACGAGCTACATTTCAGAATGTACAACCTTTTGTACCAAATCCGTCCATAGAAGAAGTAAAGGGTGCAATAAACGACCTCAAAAACAATAAGGCACCCGGAGAAGATGGGGTGACAGCAGAGATGCTGAAAGCAGGAGGCCAGATAATAATAGACAAAGTACATAGGTTAATTAATGAAATATGGGATAAAGAGACTATTCCTACAGAGTGGCAAGAAGCTTTAATAGTGCCCATCCATAAAAAAGGGGATAAACAAGAATGTAATAACTATAGAGGAATATCTCTTTTAAATGTTACATATAAGATTCTGTCCAAAATTATTCAAAGAAGACTTGAAGTATATACGGATTCCTTTGTCGGTGAACAGCAGGCTGGATTCACCAAAGGCAGGTCCACTGTGGATCATATTTTTATACTTAAGGAATGCTTAGCAAAGTACTGGGAGTTCAACAAGGAATGCTATTGTTTATTTATAGACTTCAAAAAAGCGTATGATAGCCTATTCAGAGCAAAGATATGGGAGAAAATGGAAAAATTCGGAATACCAGATAAGCTTATTAAATTAGTAACCACATGTGTCTCAAACTCTCGTTGTAAAGTGAAGATAGATGGAGAAACCACAACTAAATTTAATGTGAATACGGGGGTGAGACAGGGGGATGGACTCTCCCCCCTCCTATTCAACATTGCTCTAGAGGAAGCCCTACAAACAGTAAAAAATGCACACATAGGACTAAAACTAGGAACGAATATTAATATATTAGCTTTTGCAGATGACGTAGTACTGATGGCTGAAAGAAAAGAAGATCTTAGGGTTTTAACGGAGATACTAATAAATGAAACTGAGTATGTAGGGCTAAAAATAAATGATGCAAAAACCAAATTCATGATAGTAACAAGAGGAGAAGCTGGAAATAATGAAGAGTTTTTTCAAGTCAACAACCATGAATTCCAAAGAGTAAATAATTTCACCTATCTAGGCGTTCTACTATCTGACAAAAATACGGAAGACATGGAAATTTAGAATAGGATAAATTTAGCAAATAAGAGTTGGTACGCATGCAGTAAACTAATGAAATCCAAACTTTTAACGAGAAAGACAAAAATTAGAATCTACAAAACTATAGTAAGACCTGTACTTTTATATGGAGGGGGAAAATTGGATCCTGAGCAAGAACTCAGAAAAGAAAATAATAACTTTTGAGAACTATATATGGGCCAGTATGTGAAGATGGAGTATGGAGAATCCGCCACAACCGGGAGCTAAGAGAATTATTTCAAGACCCTGATATCAATGGAGAAGTTAAGAGTAGAAGATTAAGGTGGGTTGGCCATATCCTAAGGAGAAAGGAGGAGAGTCTACTGAAGATAGCACTCAGAGGAAATCCGAGGGGAAGAAGACCAATAGGTAGACCGAAAGCCAGGTGGTGGGGTCAAGTACGAAAAGATTTGGAAAGGATGAGGCTTGTAGAGGAAGATGCATGGGACCGAGACTATTGGCGACAGCGTGTTGGCGAGGCCAAGTACCAGCTAGGGTACAAGTGGCCATGGCAGTAAGCAGTAAGCAGTAAATAAGAACCAAAACCGAAACGTAGACATTTTACTTATACTACACTACGTACGTATTTTGCCTGCTCTACTTATCTTGTTCTTCTTTCTCTTTGGCTTGGTATTTTCAGTTCGATTGTTTCTCCTCAGATCTCACTTCTCACCTCACTCCCACAATGTCTCGGTCAGATTGTAATAGAAAAGTAGAGCGCCTTATTTATAACCATGTAATTTTTTTGGAGATGTTCAACATTTAGCGGAACTAATTCGCACTGATTATAAGTAAAAACTGTTCTAAACCAACCAAACCTAGCCAAACTTGCTGTAATATATGGAAAAAACTGGTTTAAATTGGAAAAGGCATGTGGTGAATGAAGGTCTGGACCTATGCAGATTTGTGACTGCATTTAGTCCTTTGAAGGTAAGTTAGATTAGGTAAGTTAAAGTTTAGGTTATAGTTAACCTAAACTTTACCTTCCTAATCTAACCTAATGCACTCAATGCAGCCACGAAGTAAGGTTCACTGGAAAATAAGTAACCTAATAAAAACTTACAACAGTTAGAAAACTTATAAAAAGTAACAAATTTTAATCACAGTTAACTGAATAAGATATATAAATTTAAATACCTAGAACAACTCAACTAAACTTAAAAAAGTGTAAACACAGTTCACTGGTTAACTGGATAATATTGTATAAACAACAAAAATACCTACCTATACCGTAACAACTTCACAAACTTTAAACACTTACTAATTGTATGGAAGGTTCGCTGGAAAATAAGTAGCATAATAAAAATTTATAACATTTGGATAGACTATAAAAAAGTAACACATTTTAAACACAGCTAACTGTATAAGATATATAAACTAAAATATCTATAAGAACTAAATGCACTTTAAAATACAAATATTAAAGCACAGTTCACTGGTTAATATATAACTAACTAAAATATCTTTAAAAACTGAATAAACTAAAAGAACGACTAACTTTAAGCATAGTTCACTGCATAATAAGCTAATATAAAATACCTATAACACCTGGATGAACTATACAAAATAACTCATTCTAACATCATTTCACACTATAAACCTATAAATATCTCAGTTTCCTGGGTTCAACAATCTTGTGGCATTTAAAAAGTGAAGAAAAGGGTCGTCACCAGACAGTTTGACTTGACGGCGGTACAAATACTCAACCAAATGCGTAGCTAAGTCTTCCGACATAATCCCAGTTTTGAGTGACCGTTTGAACCGTTTTGAGTTACCACGACGATTCGATGGTCTGAGTATTCGTTGACGTTATCGGATCGATTAAGTTTGCTGAGTGGTTGACGGTAAAAAGATGTATCCACTAGCCGATAAATTAAAGTAACCTTTCCATAGATCCGTTACAAGAATTGTCCCCAGTTTGATATACTTTTCAATACTAACGGTATAAGCGTTACTGCATCACGTTTGTTTTCTGGGCAAATCTCAATCCTGTATCTGCCTCCCCTTCTTTCCCTTCTTGTCGTGTCCACGTCCACATTTACTTCAATCATCCCTAGAATCATCACACTCCTTCAACCAATCTTCATCTATTGTATTTCCTTTTGCCGATTTTACACTCGTCTATTTCAAACACTATCCCGTCACCCCCTAAAAGCTCCTCTTCCTCGTATTTGCTATCTATGTAGCAAAAGCAAGCCTCCATACAATAAGAAAGCCAATCGGAGATGGTTCTCCTACTTGTTTGAGATGTTGCTGAGCTCGTTTCTCTGATCAAAAAATCATAGTTAACAACATTGGTGCAAAAGAAATAAACTATTATCAAAATGTTGATAAGGCCAGGCTTCGCACTTTCAAAAAAATGTTTTTCCAAAGCATTCTTTCTGACATTGTGTCCGCCATTAGTGTTTTTTTTGGCAAATCGGAATTTATCAGAATTGTCGCCACGAATTAGGGTTTTCATTTCGTCCCCGCACACATCACAATTGGGATTTTCAGATATCAATTGTTTTCCCTGGAGAAAACTTACACAATTATCAATAGAACAGAACACATTATGGCACAAAAACCTAAAATTGATCAAATTAGAATCACGATCCACTTCCATTTTTATTACGCTGTCCAGTACAGGAATGTCAAACTCACAATCACAATCTATGGTTTCCAAGGTCACATCTATATTGTAGGGCTACTACCCAAGTCAAATGATCAATGAAGAGCAGACATTTAAGAAGGACTAATAATAATATTATTTTATTAAGTAAGAGTCCGATTAACTATTGACGGTTTATTGCTTCTAACCCCCAAATCACATAAAACGTCCTTAAAACGATTTGAAATTATTTCTCGATATCAACATTACAACTTTGTCAATGATTGTTTAGGAGGCGAGGCTTCCTTTTTTTACTAATTAAATATATCAGAAATAGTCTAATAACTAACTAGAGGGTTTCGTTTGAGGGAGACTCTAAACCTGGTTAATCATCTTGAGGAACACGTAATTAATTAGACGGGTAAAAAAGTAACTGTAGTGGGGGTATCCTGGAAAAAAACCAGGATGGATACCCTAAATATGGAAATTGTCTTACTTAATACGGGGAAAAATCTTGATTTATGGAAATATAGTGAATACCCACGAAACACTGTGAGTCAAATCAAAGTGTAATGATCGCAATTTCGATTGCTGATCGATATTTTCATCCGATTGTACCGTAGCCCAGTTAAGAAATCGTACCCTACATTATATATAATGAAAACGTAAAACTTCTTTTATGATACGTTCTATTGATTCAACTAATTTAATAAATCATATTATAAAGAGGTTGGATTGCATTAATTAATAAGGAAAAAATATTTGAACGGTACTTATATACACTTTTATAGACCTACATAATATGTTGTAGTCGACTGTCTTCAGGATATCCTTATTACATTTACGTATGCCAAGTATGTATTGAATGAGACTTACTTTTCTCTCAGGCACTTAGTAGTTTGTCCGCTTAACTGATCGTTTAAAAGCGGACCACTCCCAGAGCTTGTCGTTAGGACATTATTGAATATTTCTGAAAAACGTCCAGAGCTTTAATAGAGGGATCGAGATTAAAATATTAATAACAATTATATCAAGACTAAGTCTTTGTTTGCAGAATTCTTACGTTTCCCAGAGTGGGTATATTATTTCATATTTTAATTATTTATTATAAAAAGATTAAATATTCAAGTAAGAACATAGTACGGAATATTTAGATATTTGATGAACATCAGATTTCATTGCTAGACTAAGTATTTACTCGACTACGAATTTACTCGACTAAAGACGTTCATTTAGTTATACTGTACTTGTTCAGTTCTTTTACCTTCGATTTTAAACAAATAAAGGTATATATTTGTATTTTTATTTGAATGGTAACCAAAGCAGTGAACATTGAAGTAGAGCATGACTCTACTCCTGCGTTCATCTCTGCTTTAGTCAGATTTATTTCCCGACGTGGACGTTGTAATCAAATTTACTTTGACTGTGGTTCCAATTTCATAGGAGCTAATATTAAACTACAGAAATAATGAAGAACCTCAAATCTGAAGAATCTCAACTAAATTCACCATCGAACATGGTTTAACTATTCATTTAGCCACCTGCTTCACGTCATCATGGTGGGTTATGGGAGTCAGCGATAAAAAGTTCTTAATACCATATTTACAGAGTTATCGGTTCTTCAGTCCTTGCATATCAGGCGTTTACTACGCTCACAACTAGAATTGAGCACAAGGCTATGTTAAAATTAAGACCATTATGTACACTCTCTGCCGACCCCTCAGATAGTTCAGCACTTACGCCTGGGCATTTTCTGACTGTTATTTAATTCCTGAAGATGACATCTTAACTGTACCTAAGTATAAATCGTTTGAACCGTTGGCCAATTAGTCAATCATTATTTGAGAACACATGGAAAATATGGACAAAAGAGTATTTTCACACACTGCGACAACGAACAAAGTGGACAAAGTCGACAAAGAACATAAACATTGGCGATCTGGTCATAATTCAATCTACAAGGCCAACTTTTCAATGACCCCTAACAAGAGTAACTAAGTTTTTTTCCAGCAAGGATGGTGTTGAACGAGTTGCAGAAGTAAAAACAGCAACAATCTGTTGTAGAAGGCCTGTAACTAAACTCTGTGTTTTACCATTTGACTAACTGTTGAAGTGATGACACTTAAAAGTTATACTGTTAAAACAAATACTAATCTAATTACCAATTCTAATGTAATTCTAATGTAGGTGGAATCTAGACCTAATTGCCACGTACATAATACTGATTTTCTATACTAAATTATATTTGGGCTTGGTAATTCATCTAATCCTTAAAACAAGTTGTTAAAATTACATTCGAATGAAAAGCTTACAAAACAGCAAACTATAAAATTACACATTCCTAAATAAAAGAAGGATTGTAATCTGGAATTTCCAGCAAAAGTAAAATTTAGCCACTAAAAGCTCGTCTTTAATTTTGGCTCTTTAAAAATGTACACTACTTTTAATATAACTACACTACTTTTACATGTACACTACTTTTATATGTACTTTCTAGTTCAATATTCAAGAATATTCAAGTTTTAAACATCTGTTAGAAATTGGATGTCGAATTGATTCTCATAGCCAACATTTTCCATACTATTTTACGTAGTCTAAGGCTTTTAATACGTTTTACAACGAATAAACATTATGAACCTAATCATTTTAACCATAATTTTGATTTTCCACACCATAGTCAATTTTTTAAGTTAGTTTTTGAACATGTGGATGGGTTTTATAAGCTAACGGATGATTCTTTGTTCGAACTTACAAAAACCGATTCAAACTGGAAATCTAATTAATACGGCCAAAAATAATCTATAACTATAGATGTTAAATGTTTATGCAATGAAGAGGATGAATGACCATGTTTTTCTCCTAAGCCAAAGTCTTGTACCATACAATTAGTTTTATTAACTAGACTTAAATCTTGGCAAACATTAAATAAAGCTCCGTGGAATGTGAAAAGGACGGGTGATGGCTATAATTATAGAATATCTCTTGTAAAACATAATGAGCAATTTTATTTGTTTGTATTCAAACCTGATTATTCCTAACCTCAAGTATTGTAAGGTTTACTCAAAATATTATATAATACTTCGGTTAATGGAAGACAAGTAGTTCTATTCCCTGGTATTTTGAATATTGTTATATTCTTGTTTAGGGGACCAAAAGAGGCCACTGAACCAAGCTGAACATATTGATGGAGGTTATAAACATAAAGGGTGAAATGTCAAATATTCTGGCACTCTTGCTGCACACTGCAATTGTAGACATCTGATGGTGACTTTAGGAAAGCGCTGCCAACCCTGGAGTTCAAGTTAAACTAAATAAAAATATTCAATTTTTTCAATTTAATAAATTTATCTTTGTATCGATATTGTTTAAATATGACATTAGCAATTCAAGACTTAGTTTGTGCTTCTTGTATTTTATTTTTTTACAACCAATAATATATATCCGAATACATATTTACTGTGTATATATATGCATGGATAACAAGCAATGGTAAAACAAACAACGTAGTCTACAAAATAGTTGATTTCATAAATGGGCGATTTATTTGTAATGGTTAAAAAGTATTTGGACAATGCACGCTGGTTAAAACAACTTTAAACATTATTTTAAAACACGTTGAAGAAAATTTTCAACTATACTTTATAAGTACATCGCATTATTATGGCATTATAAAAATGGTTTTAAATCAAAATAATTAACTCGATGTGTAATTCACTAGGTCTTCTGATATTTCCCTCAGAAAATATGAAGTGAATATTCTCCAACAGTCTAAGTAAGAATGACTAAGCATTCTCGGCCATTATCACATCGTCACCATTCTTTCAGCTCATGAATTTTTCAAATGTTTGATAAATGAAATATTTCTATATTCAACTTACCAAAAATGACAAATCTCTTTCCAAACGGTGTTCGACACGTGTGGGAATGGATGACAAGTAAGAAACAATCGTATGCAAAGTGAATCACATATTCAGAATCCAAGGTTAATCAGGTGAACCCCAGACTCAATTTTTCAATTGACTGATTCTTACCTTGAGTTTGCGCTGTCTGGCCTTTAACAAGCGTTTATGTGTGTTTAATTTGTGTTTGTGGAGGTGTAAGTTTAACTATATTTCTGTAAGTGTTGTTGGCATACCTACATTTGTGTTCATTCATGTAATTGTCAATAAACGAGATCAAAGATTGTCAGATAGCTTTAATTATTGCGTTCAAGGTACGCGCGCAATTAGTATTTTCGTAAATATAAAATAATTTTAATTAACTTCATTAGGTTCGGCAATTACTCTTGATAGTTTCAAAGTAAATAATGCCTTCCCATAATACGTACGGGGATTCTCTTTCCATCCATTGTTTGATCATTATCTACTATCGAAATAACTGTCTGCGTATAACCGGCTCTATGACAAGAGTCAGTGACATTATAAAGTCGACGCTCTCGCCAACTAATGATGACACTTGGAACTGTCGAGGACGTTTTCTAAAATTATCAGTCTTTGGAATATCTATAGATATGTTATTACTTTTAACAATGTTAAACCAATTTAGACATTATTTTAAAAGCTTGCAACATAAAATATGTAATTCGAAACATAGTTTTATTAGGTATTTAGTTAATAATGTTTATTACTTACAATTCTATCCAAATTAAATTTAATAGAAACGTATCGAGATCCTTCTGTACCAAATCAGCATTAGAAGTGTATTCGTTCAACTGTTTCACTGTCTGAAGTTGACAGCCTCGCACTAACCTTAAAATAAAATTAACGTGCACCCTTTTATTTTAACCTTTTACTTTAACGTTCAAGCATAAAGTCACAAAGTCACGGATAAAAATGTTTGTGTAAGTCATATTAATTTTTTTGTTTAAACCCCGTTCAAGCGAATTTTCCTGCAGTTACCAACACACATAATGTGATCGTTGGAATGTATTTTGTAAATACTGCATTAAAATACGTTGAAATGAAGTTAATTTTCCTTTTAACGAATTAAAAAATGGCGTCATTCGTAGGACAAATAAAATAACCCAACATTATCAAATTGTAAACCATAATTAGTCTGCGTTAGACTCAAAAGATTAAACTTAGACAAATACCAGGTAAATCTGCAAGCGTGTACCCGGGGCCAAGCTTGAGCCCACTTAGTCTAAGCCGAGTTGCTGAAGGTAATTACAAGCTTTACTATGGCTTACCACCTGCGGCTTACCTAGCACTTAGTCTACACTTACAGTAGGCTGCAAGACCCAACTCATCATCCTCACATGATTGACTCAACTCATCTGTACTGAGAAAACGACGTTCTTGTAATTTTACTGAATACTTTAGTGCCACAATGAAAGGGTGAAATCAATTTTTAAGGGTAAAAATGTTAGACAATGAGGCAAATGCAATAATAAAACACCATCTCAGTAGGATATCTAGAGATAAGCATAGTATAGTTACTGTTATTTAATTACAAAATTGAATATGAAAAGAATGGGCTTTGGTGGAATTCGTAAACTATAACTTTTTTTTAGATAATACTGGAGTAAAATTCATAAATTGCAATGAAGCTGTCTACATTACATTTACTAGCCCATATAATTGATTTATTTTATAACTAGAAACTCATTATAGTCAGATATAAAAATTAACTAGCATGAGTTCTAATCCAATTGGTAAGTTTTGAAGATATGGCATCATTATATTATACAAGTTACTCTTGACAAGGGTAATCAAGAGATAAAAGAAAGTTCAAAACTATTATATGAAATTTCTTTAATTAAACATATGCTTCATATTTAAATGGAGGAAACGTTAATGACTTTTGTGATGATTATGAGGTATATTTTACATGGTGAATGTGAATATCAGTGTTTGACAGAGAACCGAGTACGCAGCATTAATATTGAAAAATAATACAGTCTCACAATAAATATGTTACGGCGTGTTAGTCATACTCAGTTAAAATATGAGTTTATTACGTTGTTGTTTTATTAAACCTGGATAATTGAAAAAAGGAATAAAGTCTGTTTATTTTACCTGTACTGTTGCCTAACAATCCTGAGTAGTTAGAGTGACTATGGATGTTTTGTACTCATAACTACTAGACACCTAGTGCAACAATGGTGGAAGGCAAGGCAATACTAAGAATCCTTGGTAGTTTTGTAATGCTTAAAGTTAATGTTGTCCTTTCCGTGTGTTTTTATAGTGTGTTTTGTCCGATATATTAAAACACTAAGTACTACTTCAACTAACTACGAGGGACTACTACACTGCTAGACGGGTTTGGATAAGGTGATGTACGCAAGAGTGTATACGGGATGTAGTCACTGTGACTACAACGCAGATACAACAGGATAGTGTGAGACTTGCATGGATTCAACTTGAATTTGGCTTTTATACACAGTTTTTTCTAAGAAGATAATATCCAATAAAGATGTGTGGAAGCCGGGGAGATACATACTATTACTGGTTTTTACAGTATATTAACAAATATGTTCTATGAAACTTTGGGTTTGTTTTGATTAGACCTACATTTAAAAATCACTCTTTGAGATAAGGAACTTCAGCCTCAACTTCAATTGTTGCATTTATTATGCTGCTGCGTTTAGGTAATATTTTTGCTATGCGCTTTGATTAGCATCAACAATGCTGCAACTTAAAATATTGAATAGAAAATGTACTAAGTAAAATAGTCACGTTTCATATTTTGCCCCTCATTGAACAGTACTCCTCCAGGCTAGACGCTTTATTTGTACTAGCCACTTTCCATAAACCATTGTTTAAAGCACGATTAATTAGGAAATATGTTAAATAAGTTTATAAGTAGGCTGGCTTTAATGTTCATTGTTCAGTTTAGGTTGACGATCTTCACTGGAATATGAAAAATGTTCATTAGTTGAAGTAGAAGGAAGAAGAAAAGTTGTAAAAATTTTATTGACAACATTTTATTTAGTTCATCAAACAGGAAGAGGATTCAAATCAACGACGACGTGGTAATTATATAAACATAATATTGTATAAATGCTGCAATATTTACTTAATAAGGACAATATATGCATCACAAAATTATTACAACAAAAAATATCAAAATTCGTGTTTCTGTCCCCTAGACTATTTTACTAAGACACTAATAGGTTTTTACGTACTTATGGTCAAATAGCTCAATTATTAAAATTGCTCAGTAGCTTACATATTTCGTTGCAAGCTTACAATCTTACATTCGACTTACAGTTTTCCGCTACCGACCCCACATCGCGCTGGACTAAATTATCATTTTTGTGTTTTGTTATTTTCGTTTCGTGCTTGATTTGATTGTAGTTTGGCGAGTTGCAAGCTTTGAGAATGTTGTCTTCGCAACGAAACATGTAATCAACTGAGCAATATTAATCGTTGAACTATATGAATATTTGTCTACACTACGTACGTAAAAACCTATTATTGTAAAAAAAAAACTACTTAATTACTTTTGACTTTCACACCGGTCTGCGTTTTTGAAGAAGGACGTTTGTATGCCTTTATATAAAAGTTTGTAAAAAGAATCGTAAAGATGATGGTTTGAGATATTGCGAAATAGAGGAAGAGCCTTTGAAGAGTTGGGACGTTCTGGAAGATTGCAAGGTAGACGTGCACGGAGAATATGATCATGAATTGGACCTGAAAACAAAGGTAAGGATTATTATTGTTTATCCGACAACCATCCTATGTGCACTAAGACTTTAAATAAAATATAAACAAAATATTCCTTCAACTTCTACAAGTTCATTTAGTTGCTAGATCAGTGAATGAAGTACTGAACGTCATTTTTGGTTTTCCAGTTTGTACAAACACTGATTATTACCGTTTATACTTTAAGTGCAATCGTTTAAACAAAAGGCGTAATGTTGAAAATAATGCCACTCTCTAGAAGGAAAAATATACAGGGTGAATCTTCTAAGCTGTCCTAAACAGATTACAGACAAACGGCTTGACATACAGAGATGAAACAAAAATTTTCCCCACTAATTCATACCCAAGGAACAACGTAAAAATGTTTTTACGATTTTTTAAATACAGGGTGTTCAAGAAACTGGGGGTCATGGGTTCGAATCTCATTTATCTTTGTCCGTTTCAAAATGGCGGCCATTTTTATAGAAAATATTGATATTTACAGAATACCCTGTATCTTGAAAACCACTAAACTTATTTTCGTTCTGTTTGAAAATTCTTAATCCTCGTAGGTTCAGCTTTAATTTGATATACAACAAGTCAACATTTTAAAAACTAAATATTTTTTCTATGATTTAAATTTTTTTTAAAGTTGGTAGCCTTGTAAATGAAAATTTTTAAATGGCAACATGTGTAAAAGTGTGTATAATTTTGAAGGCCTTGTAAAAACAAACAACTTTTAAATTTAAACCTACCGTCTATCTTTGGTCGTTTTCTAGTAATTAACCAAAAACTCCAATTGCCCATATTAAATCCATGTTAAACGTACAGTACTGAAGATTAGTGGATGGAGATACACTATTCCCATGGTACTGCGCGTTTAACATGAGTTTTATATGGGCCATTGGAGTTTTTGGTTAATTACTAGAAAACGACCAAAGATAGACGGTAGGTTTAAATTTAAAAGTTGTTTTTTTTACAAGACCTTCAAAATTATACACACTTTTACATATGTTGCCATTTAAAAATTTTCATTTACAAGGCTACCAACTTTAAAAAAAATTAAATCATAGAAAAAATATTTAGTGTTTTAAATGTTGACTTGTTGTATATCAAATTAAAGCTGAACCTACGAGGATTAAGAATTTTCAAACAGAACGAAAATAAGTTTAGTGGTTTTCAAGATACAGGGTATTCTGTAAATATCAATATTTTCTATAAAAATGGCCGCCATTTTGAAACGGACAAAGATAAATGAGTTCTGTTTTCACTAAATTGTTTGTCTAGTCTAGAGCTTT